GTGTGGCCTAATGTGCTAATGAGCTATGCTCTCATGGGTGTGGCTGGATATGCTAATGAGTTTCTGTTGTTGGGTGTGGCCTATTATGCTAATGAGTTCCTGCTGGGCTTTTTCTACAAAAAAAGCCCTGCAAATAAGTATGAGATGCAAGTTTTGTATGAGCTGCCATGATGGTTGGTGGTAATGGCTAATTTTAGAAATGGTTTCTTAAGTTCCTGTTTACTTTGACAACTTTATGGACTGGGTTTTTATTTTATAAAGAGAAGTAAAACAAGTGTCAAGTGACACCTTAAAGACTAACAGAAATTTATTCCAGCGTCAGCGTTTGTGAGTGAGAGCTCATTTGATCAGGTACACAAAGTGGACGACCATTAGGCCTCTGATGAATTGAGCTCTGACTCAGCAAAGTTTATGACGGAATAGATGGTGTTAATCTTTAAGATGTTGCTGGATTCCTAGCTTGGTTATCCATCTGACATTATTTTAAAACTGATTGTTTATATTGGCTGTCATGTTTATTGTATGGTGAATCACTTTTTGTTTTAAGCATAAAAGAACTCTATACATTTGATAAAGTTAATGATCAGGCGTGGTTTAAAAAACACCTTCTTGTGATTGTTTTCTCCTGGACAGCGGCCAGTGACCTTTGAAGAAGTGGCTGTGTATTTCTCTGGGGAAGAATGGGCTCTGTTGGATCCGGGCCAGAGAGCTCTTTACAGGGAAGTAATGATGGAGAACTATGGAAACGTGGCTTCGCTGGGTAAGGGTCTCTTTCCCCTGCATGGTCTGGCTGTGTGAGGCCTGCATTCCTCTCCTTGAAAATTCCCCACCCCCCTTATACTAGAGTGATGTTGACAATGAAACGGGTTGCTTGTGCCGCATAGCCTTTTCATGTAACGATTGTTGGGTCAGGCACCAATGTGAGTTTATCCAGCATCTGAGTCGCTTTCATACATGTTGCATAATGCACTTTCAGTGCACTGTGCTGCTGGATTTTACTGTGTGAAATGGGAAAATCCTCTTGCAAACAATTGCTAAAGTGGATTGAAAGTGCATTATTCCTTGTATCAAAGCATCCTTTGTCTTTTCTAAATAAGCTTCAAATAAGCTTTTTGAAAACCTGGCTTTAAAAGCAAAGTTGTTCCATAGCTAAGAACTGAATATAGAATTAGTTCCAAAAACTTGCCTTTGGACCCTTGAAAGCACAACTGAGAACTAAATGCTTCCCTCCCATCCAGAATTTTCTAATAATCAGAGTCCCTTGAATTGTCATGTAGCCTTGTTTCAGATTCTTTTTTTTAAATTTTATTGTATTGAAGAACTGAATTACAAATAAAGATTACAATTTTAGCTAGTAACATATACGTGTTTCTTACATCACAATGTCTTCTTTTTTTGGATAGGTGTACATATATGTTTTTAATTGTTTTAAGAATTTACAATAGAAGCTTCTTTTCTTCTGTCTTTTCAGTTCTTCTGTCTTCTCAGTATTAACCTATACTGCATTTTAAGCAAAACTTTTCAGCATAGCCACAAAACTAAAACAAAATACACAGGCTCAAAACCAGTCATAGTACTTCTTACTCTATTCTTCTTTGAACTTGAGTTCAGTCCGAGGGGGGCCCATGTTTCAGATTTTTGAGTAGTTGGGCGGGGCCGGGATCACAACCGTTTTGGATTGCACTTTGCCTAAATTCAGACCTCACTTTTAACCTTGGCTAAAGAAAAATGTGTGTGAACCCCATTTAATGCTGGGCTTGCACATATCTTACTCCTTCCCCTTGCCTTCTTGCATGTAACTCACTCTGGTGTGAGTTGATGTGCTAATGCAGGTATGCACGTGAACCAGACTTAATCTCCCCTCTCCCACCCCACCTGGGATTCTAAACCAGAGTTGGTTTGAGGCTTAGAATCCTGGCTGGTGGGGGCTGGGGGTGGTAGAATGAGTTTTCATTTCATGTGCATTGCTGTACATCCTGGGATCTGAAGTTAATTTCCGTGATTTTTCTGCACAAGAGCATAGTATGCGTGTGACCCTGGCAAAAAGCCATGTGTGCGTGTGTTTATGCACAATTTTCTTAAAGGGAATGTCTGAAGACATCCCACTGAGTCCTCTCTTTTGAGACAGAAGTGTATAACAGCGCCATCCTAAGCAGAAATGCACCCTGCTGAGTTCGGTGAAGTCAGTGGGCATATAATGTCATACAGTGGGCATGTGTGTTTCATATGCACTTCACCACAGCTGTACCGCCATCGCTATGTAAATTGTTTTACTAATTATGTTGTGTTATGTTATACTGATATTTATATTGTTATTTTATCTATTGCTTTCTTGTGTAAGCCACCCTGAGCCTGCCTTAGCGGGAAGGGTGGGGTAAAAATCAAATAAATAAATAAATAAATAAAATATAAGGGTGTAACTCTGCTTAGGGCTGCGATGCACTGGTTCAGTGTTGAATGGAAAGGGAGCAATGTTCCTTCTAAGCTGTGGAGTCCTGTGAGCAAAAATTCTACTTTGTGAGCCGCTAGCATTGAAGTTGTGAGCAAGCGATTTGACTGCTACATAAATTAGTTTGCTCTGGAGCCCTCCTTCCTGAGCTAAGACACAAATGTGTGAGCCGGAGGCTAAAAACCTGTGGGCTAGCTCACACTAACTCAGCTTAGAGGGAACACTGGAAGGGAGTAGGGATAACCGCTTCTGTGGTGGGTATTGCTGACAATATCCTGATTTTGTCCCAGGATATAACACCTGTGTGCTGGAATATGAGGAGAACTGTTGGCAGAAAAGACCCAAAGAAGCGGATGTTGATGAAAGACTGGTAGAAGGATCTGAAGGGAAATGTTTCTGGGACCCTGCAACGCGGTCAAAGCCTGAAAGAAAGCTGGCGACAGACAGTCACCAGAACGATCATGAGGAGTATAAACCAAAACTAGCCTTGCTTTGGCGGGAAGATGCTGGGAATGTAGAGACGGACGAAGGACTCCTAAAGCGTGAAACACAGAGGGACCAAGACTGTGACAACAAATTTTGTCAGAGCGCGACGTTTGTCAGGAATCCACGAATGGCAGAAAAAGCGTATATCTGCTCATGCTGTGGGCAGATATTCCAAGGGACGTCCGCTTTGCTTGTGCACGAGAGGACTCAAATTGAAGAACTGAATTACAAATAAAGATTGCAATTTTAGCTAGTAACATATACGGGCTTCTTACATCACAATGTCTTCTGTTTTTGGATGGGTGTACATATACGTTTTTAATTGCTTTAAGAATTTACAATAGAAGCTTCTTTTCTTTCTACTATCTCTTCAGTTCTTCTGTCTTCTCAGTATTAACCTATACTGCATTTTAAGTATTTTAAGCAAAACACTTCAGCATAGCCACAAAACTAAAACAAAATACACAGGCTCAAAACCAGTCATAGTACTTCTTACTCTATTCTTCTTTGAACTTGAGTTCAGTCCGAGGGGGGCCCATGTTTCAGATTTTTGAGTAGTTGGGCGGGGCCGGGATCACAACCGTTTTGGATTGCACTTTGCCTAAATTCAGACCTCACTTTTAACCTTGGCTAAAGAAAAATGTGTGTGAACCCCATTTAATGCTGGGCTTGCACATATCTTACTCCTTCCCCTTGCCTCCTTGCATGTAACTCGCTCTGGTTATCCTTGATGTGCTAATGCAGGTATGCAGGTGAACCAGACTTAATCTCCCCTCCCCCACCCCACCTGAGATTCTAGACCAGAGTTGGTTTGAGGCTTAGAATCTTGGCTGGTGGGGGCTGGGGGGTGGTAGAATGAGTTTTCGTTCCATGTGCATTTCTGTACATCCTGGGATCTGAAGTTAGTTTCTGTGATTTTTCTGCACAAGAGCATAGTATGCGTGTGACCCTGGCAAAAAGCCATGTGTGCGTGTGTCTTTATGCACAATTTTCTTAAAGGGAATGTCTGAAGACATCCCACTGAGTCCTCTCTTTTGAGACAGAAGTGTATAACAGCGCCATCCTAAGCAGAAATGCACCCTGCTGAGTTCGGTGAAGTCAGTGGGCATATAATGTCATACAGTGGGCATGTGTGTTTCATATGCACTTCACCACAGCTGTACCGCCATCGCTATGTAAATTGTTTTACTAATTATGTTGTGTGTTATTTTATATTGATATTTATATTGTTGTTTTATCTGTTGCTTTCTTGTGTAAGCCGCCCTGAGCCTGCCTTGGCGGGAAGGGTGGGGTAAAAATCAAATAAATAAATAAATAAATAAAATATAAGGGTGTAACTCTGCTTAGGGCTGCGATGCACTGGTTCAGTGTTGAATGGGAAGGGAGTAGGGATAACCACTTCTGTGGTGGGTATCGCTGACCATATCCTGATTTTGTCCCAGGATATAACACCTGTGTGCTGGAATATGAGGAGAACTGTTGGCAGAAAAGACCCAAAGAAGCGGATGTTGATGAAAGACTGGTAGAAGGATCTGAAGGGAAATGTTTCTGGGACCCTGCAACGCGGTCAAAGCCTGAAAGAAAGCTGGCGACAGACAGTCACCAGAACGATCATGAGGAGTATAAACCGAAACTAGCCTTGCTTTGGCAGGAAGATGCTGGAAATGTAGAGTCGGATGAAGGACTCCTGAAGCGTGAAAGAACACAGAGGGACCAAGACTGTGAAAACGAATTTTGTCAGAGCGTGACATCTGTCAGGAATCCCCGAATGGCAGAAAAAGCGTATATTTGTTCATGCTGTGGGCAAATATTCCAAGGGACTTCCGCTTTGCTTGTGCACGAGAGGACTCACATAGCAGAGAGAATATATAAGTGCTCGCAGTGTGGGAGGAACTACTCTTGTCATTCTGACCTCCTTGTGCACCAGAAGAGCCATGCGGGAGAAGACCCACACCGGTGTGCTTTGGACTGTGGCAAATGCTCTAGTCGGCATGCCCCTCTGCCCCCGCACCAGGGAGCCCATCCGGAAGAGAAGGTAAGCAGGTGCCTCGAGTGCAGGAAAAGCTTTGGCAGTAAATGGCAGCGCCATCAGCAAAAGAAACCCCATACGAGGGAGAAACAAAATGAGTGCTTAGAATGTGGGGAAAGGTTCAAATGGAAGGCCTCCCTTGCGAGGCACTCTGTGCTGAGGCAAAGCCTTATGAGAACCATGCTCTGAGCTTGGGCCCCACATCCATATGGTTTCTAAGTCCACAGAGAGGAGGGATGTCTTAGCTGCAGTCACCATGAGAGCAGCTTTAGCCAAAGATCCCGTTGTTGTTGTTGTTGTTGTTGTTGTTATTATTATTGTTGTTGTTGTTCCATTCCACCCTGACCAAATCTAAAAGGAGACTTTTGTGGCATCTGCAAGGCCATGACGGATTTATAGTCGCATAAGAGAAAGTAGGGTTCGCTCAGGAAAACCTATTGCTGCAATAAATCTGCTAGGTTTGGTCATGCACGCAGGAGAATGAAGTGGGGACACCGATGCCCTGAAGGAGTGGCATTCTGGCTCTAGATATTTTCTTTTCAGTAGCAAAACAAACCCCACCCTCCACTCTCTGCACGCGAGAAAGCTAGCACAGCAGGGAGAAAAATTCTGTTCTCCTTTTTTACTTGCATGCTGGCTTTCTCTTTGCAAGGAGTGATTAATTAATTATCGTATGGCATTGTGTGTAGCATAGACAGGAGATCCTAAGATTGTCTGACAGCCGGAAGCTCTAGCTCTTTTAGTGGTATGCACCACTAGGGGGCGAGCTAGACTTGTTTTTAGGCCAGAGACAGTTCAGAGCTGGTTTGCCGTTTCCCGCCTCTGCGTAACAGCCCTGGTTATTCCTTGGAGGTCGCTCTTCCAGTTCCTAGCCATGGCTGTCCCAGCTTAACTTCCGAGATCTGATGAGACTGAGCTAGCCTGGGCTATCCCAGTTGGGGGTGTTTAACAAAGGACAGCATTCTCAAATGGTGACGCTCTCCTGCAGTTCGATTTTTTTTTAAAAATGTATATCTTGCGTCTCTCCCTAATTGGGACCCAAAATGCCTTACCAGAACATTCTCCTTTGCTCACTCTACAGTCACACCAAGAAACTTGCAAGACAGTTCAGAGCTGGTTTGCCGTTTCCCGCCTCTGCGTAACAGCCCTGGTTATTCCTTGGAGGTCGCTCTTCCAGTTCCTAGCCATGGCTGACCCAGCTTAACTTCCGAGATCTGATGAGACTGAGCTAGCCTGGGCTATCCCAGTCGGGGGTGTTTAACAAAGGACAGCAATCTCAAATGGTGATGCTCTCTTGCAGTTTGATTTTTTTTAAAAATGTGTATCTTGCTTCTCTCTAATTGGGACCCAAAATGCCTTACCATAATATTCTCATTTAATCACTCTACAGTCACACCAAGAAACTTGCAAGGTACGTTAGGCTGAGAGAATGTGACAGGTCCAAGGTAATCCAGTGAGAGGCAGAGCAGGGATTCAAACCTTGGTTGTCCTTGTTCCACACTCTGATCACTGCACCACACTGGCTCTCAACTGCAGTTCTGTTCATAGGGTGTGTGTGTGTATGTATTAGTATTGGAAAAGGTGCAGAAAAGGGCAACTAAAAAGATGAAGGGGATGGCACACCTTCCTTATGAAGCTTAGGGGTCTTTAGCTTGGAGGAGCGACGGTTGAGGGGTGACATGATAGAGGTTTACAGAATTATGCATGGGATAGAGAAAGAAGTACTTTTCTCCCTTTCTTACAATACAAAAACTCGTGGGCATTTGGCTGTCCCTGTTCCACAAACCTTGGCTGTCCTTGTTCCACACTCTAATCACTGCAACACAGGCTCTCAACTGCAGTTCTGTTCATAGGGGTGTGTGTGTATGTATTAGTATTGGAAAAGGTGCAGAAAAGGGCAACTAAAAAGATGAAGGGGATGGTACACCTTCCTTATGAAGCTTAGGGGTCTTTAGCTTGGAGGAGCGACGGTTGAGGGGTGACATGATAGAGGTTTACAGAATTATGCATGGGATAGAGAAAGAAGTACTTTTCTCCCTTTCTTACAATACAAAAACTCGTGGGCATTCAATGAAATTAATGAGCAGTAGCCTTAGAACAGATAAAGGAAGTACTTCTTCACCCCAAAGAGTAATTAACACCTGTCCAAAGTGCCGCATCACAATCCTTTGCCCCTTCTCCACTTCCCATGACGCTTTAACTGTTTTCCTTTCTGTCTTTCAGCCCTCCATCTCTGGAATAACAAAGAGGTCAGCCACCACCAAGGAAGTTTCACATGCAAAGATAGGTCTCTCTGAGCCAGATGATAGTGCACCCAAGAGGTTACGGGCTCAGGGGCGGTTGACAAAGGCAGGCGAGGCGTGGAAATCTGCAGACGGAGCCCAAGAAGACAAGGCACAGGCCGGGGATGCGTTGCGATTGCGGTTCCCTTGTGGAAAGTGCCGCATCACAATCCTTTGCACCTGCTCCACGTCCCATGATGCTTTACCTGTTTTCCTTTCTGTCTTTCAGCCCTCCATCTCTGGAATAACAAAGAGGTCAGCCACCACCAAGGAAGTTTCACATGCAAAGATAGGTCTCTCTGAGCCAGATGATAGTGCACCCAAGAGGTTACGGGCTCAGGGGCGGTTGACAAAGGCAGGCGAGGCGTGGAAATCTGCAGACGGAGCCCAAGAAGACAAGGCACAGGCCGGGGATGCGTTGCGATTGCGGTTCCCTTGTGGAAAGGGAAAGAAAACGGCTGACTGCAGCGTCAGTGACGTGGATGACGCGTTCTCCGTGGCTGACCGGTATCTTCCTGCTGCTCCTTCCTCTGACGACGATGCCCCTTCCTCACCTTGCAGATCGATCGCCAGCTCTCTTGACTCCTCGCTGAAAGATGAGCATGTGACCCACCCTCTGGAGCACGCTGCTGGCATCGAGGTGGGAACACTCCCTGTTCTGAAATCTGAACAGGTTCATCATAGGCAGGAGGAGTTCAGTGTGGAACACGGCACACCTTCAGTGAGTGGAACAGACAATGACAGAGTCGCTGGGGATACCGTGGTACATTCCAGTATCACGGCAGTCCACGCGAAAGATGCAGCATGCTCTGATCCTCCGTACTCAACATGGTCAGACCCTGCACAAATGCCGCCATCTAGCAATGAAAGCACCCCCCTCAGTTTCCACACAAGCAACATGGTCGGACCCTGTGCAAATGCCAC